TAAGTCCCTCATTTTCTGATTTGCTCCACATGGTGCTGCTGCAGAGACATTTCTAATAGGAAAAATAAGGATAACCTGAGGACAGACATCAGTAATCGAAAAACCTTTCAGACTTGTATAGGAAGGTATGGATCTGCTGATAAAATGTGCGGGAAATCTACGATTCTAGACGAAGGACAGGGCAAAGAGATAGGTACTGTCTGCATCCAACTTTAGGGAATTACGACCTGCTCTTTTCTGGAGGCTAAAATTTTTGTTCATCTGGTAAAATTTGTAGAACCACTAGTCAGTAGGTAATTCTGTCTTCATCAAAAACATCGACACTTTTCCAGGTACTTGGATTCAAGCAATATGTTGGACAATCTTAATGAACAATTAAAATAGGTTTCTTAAAAGAATTAGCTTACAACTACCTTTTTATAAACCAAATAAACAAAATGGCAACTTCCTAAATTTAGTGTCCAAATGCCCTAAAACATCAGCATCAAGCAATCAAAACTGATCCAAATAAATGAGGAGAAGGATTAGATTTTTACAGCTCGTTCCTCAGGGCTTGCTCAAATAAACTCTAGTGAGTGAAATAAGGGATGACACAACTGAGGTAAGAGGCAGGTTTTCAAAGCCCTAGCTTTCAAAATGATTTAAAAGATACAGGTCTCTAGAGACCTTTAAATCACTGTTTTGGCCCTGCTCTGACATAGTCATTGTTGCAGAAGCACTTTCAAATTTCCATGTAAAGTGCTTCCTTGGGTGTGCTGGATGTCTGATGAAAAGGATATGCCAGTTTAAACGCCCTTTAAATTCATGCTCCCAGAGTTTTTCAGACTAACAAAATGCCAAATTTTTTGTGTGTGTGTGTGTGTGCCAATATCCTCATGTCTGGTGTGAAATGTTTAATTTAAAAGAACATGTAAAGTAGCTCTGTAGAGTTACCATGGCCTTAGAGACCTCAAATAGAAACCACCCTCTACCCCTTAGTTAACTGTGCTATGATTTCCTGGAAACACACACTGAAGATGAGAAAAGATGAAAATACTTACAATTTATTATCTCCAGCAATAAAACAGGGCAGACAGACCCAGATACAGTATGCCCTCCAAACTACCCCTTCTCTGGCCAGGGAGACCCCGGACTGGGCTTTACAAAGCTACACTCATCACTAGAGAAGCATGGGGATAGAAGACAGACAGCCTCATATTTACTTTCAAGCATGAATACAGTAATGTCATCAATTCCTTGGAGATTTTTCTTCCTCTCCCCCAATCCGCTCATGGTGAACTGATATGGCGAAGCAGTAATACAGAAATGAATCTAATTTTTATGAGAATTGCAGCTATGTTAATAAATCCAGTGTTCCGATCAGTATTGCTAGAGTGAGCACCTAACAAATTTGAGGCCAGTTAGCTCCCAAATTTCCAGAGTAACAAGAGAGATGGCATTTCAGAGGCTGACAGTGTCTGTAACACAACAAGGTGCTAACTTGTTTCTAGGCCTCATGGGACTCAAGACATTGGATATTAAAATGACATTCTGATCATCTTCCTTCACATAAATTTCATTCTAATTTAGCAGCCAAAAAATAAAGAAATGGCTGTATTATACTCTTGGAAAATCAGAATGTCAGGCTTCCAAATGGTGTGAAGCACTCACTTCTGCATTCAGCTGTTCTTGAGACAACAGCCACTAAAATCAGGTAACAATGGAAGTGAATGAAATGGTTGTAATTGAAAGTAACTTTCAAAGTCTGTGTTCATCCACAGCGTTAATCATATTTCCATTACTCCTCTCTTTCATGTCTTGGAACAATGACCAGAAAGGAGTAATCCAACAGCACAGAATGAAGATCTGATGTTTTCTCCTTCTCACCCAAACTTCCTCCATTTTGCTTCTCTAAAACAAAAAGCCCACTATGCAGAGAGGTCTGGTGGCACTGGGAGCAGAACACCAGCAAAGCTAGAGCACTGCTTATGATATGATAGAGTAAAATATTCCAGCTTGAAGCTCTACAGGTCATAGCTCAGCTGCAAGGAAATGCAACTGTACTCAAAACAAATCACAGTTGGGGAAGGGGGGATAAAACACATCATGCTCTCATCACAATAAAAGCTACTTTGATCCACTTTCAAAACAACGCAATCTCACTTGCAACTCTCATCACAGTATGAACAGAACTAAATATATTGAACAAACTAGCCCATACTTGTCTCTTTCTCTCTGTTCAGCCCTTGCCAAAGTAACACCTCATCAGTCCTTTTCTATAGCATCGAAAGGACGTAGATTTTTCTCTCCAGATTTAGGGCCCAATCAACTGGAGGCAGCCTACAGCTGTTAGAATAAGGCCTCCTCACAGTATGGGGATGATACAGAAAAGGCTCTAAGTATGGAGGCAATTTTGATCCAAACAGAGAAGAGACAGTGAGAGTGAGAGGTATGCAGACAGGCCTCTCTCTGTGCATGACACAGGGCAAGAGGCACAAAGACAGCTCAGGGATGTGGGAATAGCATGGACATGGCTGCCTTCCAGCACAGAGTAGCGGGTACTGAGAAGCAGGGTGCCAAAGAGAGCCCTGGCCTCCTTTTCCTGGCAGACTCCCAGAGTCTTTGTGATTGAGTGCTGTTGATAGGAGTCTGTCTCTCACAAAATCCTCTGCTCCTCTGATGAAACAAACAATTGAAACAAAAGTCTATGGCTGGTGGCTGTGAAGGTTCACAGGGGCCTGTTTTGCTTGTAGATCTGTATCTTTTCCATCGCAGTCACCGTATGGTATGCAGCCCATCAACATATGTCCGCAACAACTTCAAACTACAAGGGACATCCTTGTGGGGAAATCGTTCTAAGAAGAAAAGAAGAAAGAAATGTGATCAGAAAAGCTCCTGTGGAACACAGAAAGAGACAGGTGTAGCTTTGACAGAAACCTAACTGAATAGCATCAGCTTTCTCAGCCTTGCATTTGTACCCTCTCTTGTACATGCCACCTAAGCTCAGGACCAGCAACTTAGCTGCTCTAGTGACAGAACAGATTTCAAACAGTTCACCTTTCAGCAACATCAATCCTCAGTACTCCAGGCTCCTGAGGATGTTTTCCATATGCTGAATGAATGCACTCAGCACACACGGTCCACACACATGCATTTGCCCATGGGTATGAACCCATGGGAGTCTGTCATCCCGCTCCATTAAGATTCCTCCTGAGCTCTGTCACACAATTCCTTAATACTACATGTCCTGACTCAGAAGACCTGAACCTCTCAATCCCTCTTAAATAAGGCTCAAAGACTGTTGCAAACCAAAGCAATTCCCTAACTTGTACTTGCTTGTACTTCCCCAGTTCCAGGCACAGGTGAGTTGTTATCCTGGGATGTTAGCCTGGTACTGTTATCTCCCCTCCATCATCAAGTCCCATGCAGGAATTATTTCCCCTCCTGGCTTCCTAAATCCACAGTTACTGCCCTCTTCCTAATGGTCTGCTCACATACTCCCCTTATCTGGGGCTCCCCACATTGGGTCTCCAGACTCTACCCTTTGCCTGGAGAGCCACCTTGTTCCTAAACTCTGGTCTATAAGCCCTGCCTGTTGGCTCCCTGCTCAGCCTATTTGGGTCAGGAGAGCCAGACATGGTCTCACTGTTTTCTTGGGGTCCTTCTTCCTCTTCTTGTCGGAGGCATTGAGGTAAGCCTGTTCCCTGGCCCTGTACGAAGGGCCTCGGCTCAGCTCTCTCTCACTGTATGGGGGCAGGGTGTCCTCTTCTTCCTCCTGCTGAGGCGGCGATGCTGACCGCTGCGACTGTTGTTGTGACTGGTCGGATTTGTAGGTAGAGGGTGGTGACCAGGCATAATAGGTTCCCCCTCCTCTCTGGCTGGGTTGCGAGCTCAGCTTTGAGGGGGTTTCACAATGGTCACCGCTCTCATCGTAGCTCCGGGACTTCCTCTCCAAGACACTGCTGAGGTAGGAGTGATCATACTTCTGGCTCCCTCCAGGTGTCCGGCTCACCAGCCTGGGTAGATGCTTTTCCTCATGGGCCCGTCTCCGGGGTGGGCTATATGACCAGCCCCGATCCGAGTCTGTCAATGGCTCTCGGTTCCCTCTGCTACGCTTGGTGTAGTACTCTTCCATGGAGCTGTCCTGGTGGGGCAGCCCTCCGCTTCGGCCGCCGTGTGACTCCGACCGCTCAAAGCGCCGAGTGTCCTGGCTGTCCGCTCGACGGGTCCGCTGGCTGTAGGACTCTGCAAAGGCTGCCAGCTCGTCCATGGAGACGGCAGGCACTCCTACAGAGAAACTCTTACGAGACAACATCTCAGACTTGGATCTCTGCTGGCTGGAGAAGGAAAGAGGTAATGTTAGGCACAGGGCAAGATTAATCTGAGCTCATCCCCCTCGGCCGCCTCCAAAGACAATGAAGGCAAAGAAG